ACAAGGTCCCCCAGACCCGTTGATGTGGGTTTGAGGCACCCCACATAGTGCCACACACTTGCACCCACTAGGCCCCTATGGGCAAGCTGTGACCCCACACCTGCCCAAGTCTGGGGCAGCCATAACATCCCTCCCTGCTCTCCCCACCCCCAAAAGCCAGACCCCCTCCACCATTGCCATCCTGGTTTAACAGGAGTGGCCATGGAGGCTCTGCACCCACTCCCACCCCGTAGCCTGGCTTGGCCAGGGCCCTGTGGCCTAGTAGGCCTGTGCTGTCACCACAGTAAAAAGGCCTGTGATGCCGCTCTGGGGGTGAGGGTGTCAGTTGTGGCTAGTACTTCCCTCCCAGGCTCAGGGCCCCTCAGTATGAGCCCTCTGCCCCCTCTGCAGGCTGGCTGTCCCTGGCTGCCCTCTGTTGGGGGGTGGGTGCAGCCCAGGCCTGGGGTTGTTGACTTTGGGGGAGCCCAGCTGAAACCTCCAGGGCCCAACCTGGGCCAAAATGGGTCCCCCATGGCGGGGACCTTGGCCTGGCTGGGGGGGGGTGTCACCCAACTCCCCTTCCCTTGCTGCAGGGCTCCTAGTACCATGAGGGCCATGTACCTTGCTCCCAGTACCATGAGGGCCATGGTGCCTTCCCCTGCCCTGCCAACACCCAGCCCAGCCCTGCCCTTACCTGGGAGCCTGCCCCAACCCCCCAGGGGCTCTCCAGTGGTAAAATGGAGCCTGGACTCCTGGGTTCCATCCTGGGCCCCCCTTCCCCCATGGCCCCCACTGACCTACCTCACGGGGCGGGCGGAGGCCATGGGCCCTCTCCCGGTGTGGCACATGGTCCCCCGAGGCCCACTCACCTGCTGTATCGAAGACACTAACCTGGGGCTATCATGGGGGCAGCACTGACTCTGCCCTGCCCTTCCCAGTACCAGGGCTTAGGGCAGGGGGCCAGCCCCCCCTCCCCTAGAGGAGAGCTGGGTTGTGGGGTGGGACGGCAGGTTCCAGGGTGTATTTTTGTATTTTACATGTAAAGCAACTTTAACGTAAAAATATATTGATTCTAACAAGGCTGCTGGTCAGGAGTGAAGGGTACTGGGGTGGGGAATGAGGACAGAGGTCTGTGAATTGAGCATGAGAAGCACTGGCAGAGCTTGGGATATCTGCGGAGGGGCACTGGCAGGTGGGGGATGTGGAGGGCTGCAGGTCGGGAGTGAAGGGTGCTGGGAGGTACAGGTAGGGTGGGAGTGAAGGGCACCGATGGGACTGGGGAGGGTTGGGGGGCTGTGGGTTGGGAGTAAAGGGCCCTGGCAGGGTTGGGGGTGCAGGGGGCTGTAGGTCAGGAGTGATGGGCACCCACAGGGCTGCAAGGGGGTGCACAGTGTGTACTGGGAGAGAATCCAAGTCTCATGGCTCCCTCCCCCCATCTCTAACCACTACCCCATGCTCCTGAGGGCAGGGGCTGGGCTGAAGCCTTGTCTGCCGCAAACAGGAACAAACAACAAGTCCTGCCAAGCATCCGGTGGGATCTGGGGCAGGAAGCAGGGAAGGGGCAGGGCCCAAGGCTCCCACACCACTGCCGCCCGGTTCCTGCCCAGCCCCTCCAGCAGGGGGCCCTGCAGTTGCCTGTGTCTAGGCAGCACCTGATTGGCTGCCCTTTCACAGGGGGTGGGGCAAGATAGAGGCAGCAGAAAATCAGTTGGGGATCCCAGCACAGCACAGCTGCAGGGATGGGATAGGGTCAACAGCCCCAGCTGTGCAACACCCCCTAGCCAGCGGCATCCTAATGCCAGAAGCTAGGGCAGGGGTTTGGGTTGTAGCCGTGTTGGTCTAAGGATATAGGCAGACAAGGTTCCTTGGGTGAATTTGATATCTTTTATTAGACCAACCCAAATAGTTGGAGAATAGTTATTAAGCAAGCTTTCGGGTTCAAAAACCCTTCGTCAGGCTAAGGAAGCTTCAGCAGTTGATGTGTGCTCTTCTTGGAAGAAGCTAGGGCAGACACTGCTGGTCTTCATCCCAGGGGCAGGGGCTGGGTAGGGTCCTCTCAGGCCCTCCCAAGCAGGGGAAGAAGGGGGACAGGACACACAGGTTCAGACCCCCCAGGCTGTGATCATGCCTCTGGCACCAGGCAGTGTACGTCGGAGCCCATGCCTAGTGCACACATGGGTCATGGATGCTTCTGCTCTGGCTCCTCCCCACCACGCTTCCAGGGCAGCCAGTACCACCTGCAGCCCCTGGTATGGCCACCAGGAGAGGCAGCGCCCCTAGAAGACACATGGGGCTGGGGGAGCCAAGGAGTCACAGGTACTCACTCACATCCACGGCAGCAGCCATACACGGTGGGGCACAGGCACACACATATGCTTGTATGTACATTCCCTTTTTACTATACACCTGTGTATACATACTTGCACACGTGTGCATATATGTGGGGGGAGCCACACAGCTGGGGGCTATAAGGCTAGTGGGGGGGGTTGTAGGGGGGGGGGGGGGGGGGGAGGGGCAGGGCTGGTGGCAGGAGTGTGTGTGTGTTTGCATGTTGAGTGTGTGTGCGCCTAGGTGTATGTATGGCTGTGTGTGTTCATGTGTGTTGTGTATGTATGTGGATCACACGTGTGTGTACGTGTACACAAGCTTGTGTATGTGTAGTTTGAGGTGTATGTGCATGTGTGTATTCACATATGCATGTGTGTGCACCCACGTGTCAGGGGAGCATGTGGATGCATGGCTGGAGAAGCGTGCATTTGCTTTTGTGTGTTGTGTTAGTGTGTGCAGGCACGTGGGGGCATGAAAACCCTGCACAGGGCAGGTGCCTGCATGTATATGCATGTGTGTGTGTATGTACATGTGCGAAATATGTGTGCATGCGGTGTGTGCCAGTGGCAGCTGTGACTGCCATGGCCTCCCAGGCCTGTTGCATGAGGGCATGTTTGTGTGTAGTTGTGTAACACCCACGGGAGGCTGCACACGTGCTGGGGGCCCTGCCTCCCCCCTCCCCCCCATTTCCTGCCATCTCCTGTTTACAGCAGTTAAGGCTGCAGGGGCGGGGGCAGAGGGGTGCAGAGCTCCTCCACCCAATGGGGAAACCGAGGCATAAGGCATGTAACAGCTGTAGATGGAACGCAGAAGTCCAGAGCCAGGCCCCTCACCCCTAGGTCCAGTGGCCCTGGACTAGCACCTCCCTTTCTCCCCCAGTGAAAGCAGGGGTCTATACTGGTTTGCACTGAGAGTTGCTGGAGGGGCTTCTGTGGAGGAGGCTGGATTGGCCAGTGAGGGGGGAGCTGGGGCCATGTTTGTGCAGTGCCTGGTGCAGGCAGGGGCGTCTCCATGTCTGGTTGGGATGAGCTGTGTCTGAAAACAGCCCAAAA